TTGGTCTTTTTGAGACAGGGTTTCCCTGTAGCCCCAGCTGTCCTGGAACTCACTATGTAGACCAGGCTGGCCTCGAACTCACAAGAGAGCCACCTGCCTCTGCCTCCTGAGTGCTGGGATTAAAGGCATGCGCCACTACGCCTGGCATGATTTCTTAAATAATTTTAAAGGAAGAAAAAGAAATGGAAAGAGAACCTAACTATTAAGGAGACTTTAAAGAGAAATATCCAGTTATATTATGTGAGCTTTAATAGCTCCAGTTCAAATGGGAAGCACAAAGTGAAGGTAAGAAAGAATGATTATACCAGGTATGGTAGTGCATGCCTGTAATCCCAGCACTCAGGAGGCTGATACAAGAAGATCCTAAATTCAGTGCCAACCTGGTTTCCTAATGAGAACCTATCTGGAAAAGTAAGTAAATTAATTTAAAAATAAGAAGTGAGGTGCTTTTAAGTGTTATGATGGTGTGGTAGTTTTGTTGGGAGAAAGAATCTGTCTTTTAGAGATAAAACTGAAATATAGGTAAAATAAGGTGCTTATGATAAGACTATAGTAGTTGGAGATACAAGATTTTGGTTTTTGTGGATTTTCAAAAATTATTTTTAAAATAAAAATATTTTGTCTGTATGTATAACATGTATGTGCTTAGTGCTTTCAGAGGTCAGACAGTTGTAAGCTGCCATGTGGGTGCTGGGAACTGAACCAGGGTCCTCTTTAAGAACAGCAAGTGCTTTTAACCTCAGAGCCATTTCTCTAGTCCCTTTTTTTGTGTTTTTAAAATATTTTATTCTTTGGGAAGGGCTGTTTAGTAATTTTCATGGTTTGGAAAGTTATTTGTATTTCTGGCAGTGTTTCTTCATGATTGTGGAATGATCTTGATTTTTTTTTTTTTTTTTTTTTTTTTTTTTTTTTTTTTTTTTTTTTAAAAAATGTAGCCCCAGCTGGCCTGGAATTCACTATGTAGATCAGGCTGGCCTTGAACTCACAGAGATCTGCCTGCCTCTGCCTCCCAAGTGCTGGGACTACAGGCGTGTGCCGTCACACCCGGTGAATGATCTTGATTTTTATCTTGATCTGTCACAGTTACAGGAGCAGCTTTGTCTGATGCTGACAGTTTGTGGCGTTGTTAGGTTGGTAGCTGATGGATCAGATCCTAAGGGTTAGGGGATGCTATTCTTTTTCTCATAATTAAAATTTAAAAGGAAGAAAAATGTGGGATAATATTCAGAAACAGAATGTTATTACTAAAAAATATTTTCTAATCTTTTGAGCAACAATTGTGTTTATAAAGAACTAGCTTTTATAGATGAGAATTTTAAATATATAAAAAATGAGTGCACCTGTGTCGTGCAATGCTGCAGAGGTCAGCAGAAGGCATCATATTCCCCTGGAACTAGAGTTAAGGACAGTTTGTAGCCGCCGTGTGGGTGCTGGGAATCAAACCCGGGTCCTCTGCAAGAGCAGTCAGTGCTCTTAATTGCTGAGCCATATTTTATTATTTGTATTTTATGTATATCAGTATATTGCTTGCATGTATATAAGTGCACCCATGTTGTGCAATGCCTGCAGAGGTCAGAAGAGGGCATGGGATTCCCCTGGAACTGGGGATATGTGTGCTGTGATTTGAACCCAGGCCCTCTTCAAGAGCAGCCAGTGCTCTTAACCACTGGTCATCTCTCTAGGCCTAACTTAACTCCTGTTTAGAAACAGTCATTATAAAAATGATCTTAAGCATTTTAAAGATTTCATTTAATATAATCACATGTTTCTTTGTATTTTTTAGATATTTTCAACTCCAGGCCATCCAAAAACAATTTACAGCTCCTCAAACTTAAAGGCACCTTCAAAACTTTGTTCAGGGTCTAAATCTCATGATGTTCAAGAAGTTCTTAAAAAAAAACAGGTAATAGTTTCTATTCTTCTTGCCTCTTAAATTCAGACCAGGCTGGCCTTGAACTCGCAGAGATCCGCCTGTCTCTGCCTCCCCAGAGTACTCCGATTAAAGGTGTGCACCACCATGCTGGGCAACTATTGAATTCTTAAGCGACCTGTTAAACTCTTAACATCTTTATTTTGTGTTGCTATAGAACTATAAAATATGCTCATACTTCTTCCTCCATTAATAGACACTTGTAAAACAGAGAAAATACACAAACACAAAATATGTTTACTTTCAGTTGCCCCACTAAATAAAAGAAAGCTTTTCTTTGTTGTTGTTGCTGAATATTAAACCAAGGGTCTTGCACACATTAAGCACATGCTGCACCACTAATACTGTTTTCTAAATCATCTTCTTTTTTCATCCAACAGAGAAAAGCAATTTTCTTTTTCTTTTTTTGGAGGGTGGGGGTAGGTGATGCTGGGGCTAGAACCCAGAGCCTGGTACATGCTAAGTACTCTACCACTGAGCCATACCCTCATCCCAAAGCAAAGACTTTATCTCCGTGTTTTCTTGTCCAGTTCCTTTTTAGTTGTTTAAAATTTTAATTTAATTTTACTTTTTTTTTTTTTTTTTTTTTAAAATATGAGTGTATTGCCTGCATGTATATGAGTGCACCCGTGTCGTGCAGTGCCACGGAGATCAGAAGAGGGCCTCAGATTTCCCTGGAACTGGAGTCAAGGACAGTTCGTGGCTGCCATGTGGGTGCTGGGAATCGAACCTGGGTCCTCTGCAAGAGCAGTCAGTGCTCTTAATCTCTGAGCCAT